TTCTATCTGACATATCTTCTGACATTCTATTTGGCATTCTATCTGGCATATCTATCTGGCATATCTTCTGGCATTCTATCTGGCAAATCTTCTGGCATTCTATCTGGCATATCTTCTGGCATTCTATCTGACATATCTTCTGGCATTCTATCTGGCATTCTATCTGGCATATCTTCTGGCATATATTCTGACATATCTTCTGGCATTCTATCTCGCATTCTATCTGGCATTCTATCTGGCATATCTTCTGGAATATCTTCTGGCATATCTATCTGGCATATCTTCTGGCATATTTTCTGGCATTCTACCTGGCAAATCTTCTGGCACTCTATCTGACATTTTATCTTCCTACATGAGGTCCGGCAGGGAACACTGGGCGTGGATGGCCGTGGTTGAGGTCCGGCAGGGACCACTGGGCGTGGATGGCCGTGGTTGAGGTCCGGCAGGGAACACTGGGCGTGGATGGTCGTGGTTGAGGTCCGGCAGGGAACACTGGGCGTGGATGGTCGTGGTTGAGGTCCGGCAGGGAACACTGGGCGTGGGTGGTCGTGGTTGAGGTCCGGCAGAGAACGCTGTGGATCGCGGGTCGCAGTTGAGCAAGGACGACGAGGACGACGAGGACGACGAGGAGGACGAGGAGGAGGAGGCGAGGAGGAGGACGAGGAGAAGGAGGAGGAGGAGGAGGAGGACGAGGAGGCAACTGACATAAAATCTAACAACCCTCACCTGGCAGGTGGGGAAAAAAGATTGCTTGACTTGAGTTTGAATCCCCATTTTGACCGGCGATAAATCAAGGCTTATCCTGCATTCATTCCTCACATGTGTTCATGAAAGATCCATCATGTCAATCAAATATTGTGGTTGAATCTCTCATTTATTCACCTGTGTTGTTCGATGGAGTACTTGGAAGTGTAGTTCTAGTTGTAAGGTTATATATAGGAGTTATATCCCAACTTTATGGGGAGTTTTAGCCATGATTATGTATACCAATTTGTAACCCCGCTGCAGCCCCAAGCATCCATACCCTATGAGCTGCAACTGGGTCACATCCACTGTAGATGGTTTCATGGCACCTTAGAGCAAAAAGGGTTGAGCACTGATGTATGTGGGTGTCTCTGAATATGGGCGATGGGCCATAAAAATGTCAATGTTTGACAGGAGTTAAGTTCCTTATTTACCAACCCAGAAAGTGAAGCCAAGGAAATCCTCCCACAGCTGATATGTGGCGTCAACCATCCAGATTGCCTCCCCAAGCAATCAAACACCCACTGAACAAATCCAATACGAAAGCTGGCTTTCTGGGCCGGGATAGCCGGAACATTCCTGGATCTGGTGGATGTGCCCTCATCTCCCAATGGCGGGCCGCAAAATTCGAAACCCCTAACTCAACATCGCCATTTTTCATATTCCTCACTTTGAGGCAAACTAACAGTAACTAACTTATGTCCCGTGGAGGCATGGGTATAAATGATGTCAACCCGATATCTGCCCATGCCTATGCTCAGTAGGGTGAATTGACCAACCAGAATGCAAATACAATGCGAATCGACCCCAGCGCATTCTTAACACGTTGATTACTCCACCGTGTGCATGTAGTTCTAAGTTGTAACTATATAGTGCCATTGGGGGACTTACCACATCATACCAAAAAAAAAACTGACAATCCATTCAACGTCTTCATTACATTCAGGCCACGAAAACATGGCATGTACCATCAAAATCAAAATACCAAAATCAAAATCCTTTACTGTACTTCCTGGACATCTCCATTAAATCTACAGCGCCATCCTGTGCCAACGAGGGCAACAAGGAAGTACCAGCCTATCACCATGAGCGGGAGGAGCTAAATCAACTTACAAAGATGAACAAACAATCATTGATTCGGCTTGGCCAGCCAGTGAGATCGCTAGAATTCAACCAGTAGAACAATGCGAAAGGACGATGCAGCCATTGGAAATATATATATATATAGATGGAAACAGCTCGGCTACATCAGCTACCCCTCAAATTTCAGTAGCTTACTATCATTTTCCCCATCAAAATGTCCATGAAGTGGGGGAGTACATCCCCCATTTGGAGGTTTCCAAAAATAATTCGGGTACCCAAATCATCCAAGTCATGAGATTCTTTTAGTGTTGAAACCCACGGTGACGGGGAGGGATCCATGACTCAAGAAACCGCCATTTCTGGAACCTCATCCCCAACTCACCGGGACTAGGTGCATCTCCTTGGCTCGCCAGATTCCAGAGAGCGCTGCGGAGCGCGGAGCAGGAAAATGTGTGAAATTCAAGGTACATTATTTTTAACTGTCAAATTTCAACATGACCCATATGATATAATTATGATATCATGAGATCTCTACTTTCCATTGAAGACATTGAAGTGATGGGGATAGAAATGATGACACGGCGGCAACTCTCGGAGCTTTGGGCTCACTTTCCTGTCCGCGCTGATGAGAAAAGGCGAGGGGCGAAGCACAGCATTGGTGGAACGAAATTGCGATCGGAAATTTTGCCACCAATGCGCAGTCAACCTGAAGTGACTTGTCATGAGAACAGCTGCCTATCATAATCAAATGTTGATCCAGAACTCGAATGGAAACTCAACCGCCTCACCGCGAACTTCGCTCACCTGGAGTCTCGCAGTCTTCTTTTCCCGTCACAGATGGCGATGGGTGACAGTCCAGTGTCGTCTCTTTGCTCTGGCACTGGTTGCTTTTGGAACCGATCAAAACATTGGCTTCAACTGAGCCGCCAAGGCCTATGCCATATGCGCGTATTGCAAAGCAAGTCCTTTCGTGCTTCTTGTGGCCATTTGCTACAAAACAATGCCGGCTTTTCACAGAATGGTTCATCGTCACTTTATCTTTTGTCCTAGCTCTTAAGACCATAAATTTGGGGAGTCACCCAGGTAGAATGTGGACAATCAATTTCTCAGCAGCAAGGGCACCAGCCTCGGGAGCATTGGAAACGGTGCCAATGATCAGCAGGTGGAAGGGAGGGGCGCCGCAGGCTGACGAGTTCTCTGGATGTTCGCTTCAAAAAAGTGACTCGAAATCCTCACAGAAATCGGCATGAACCATTTCGAGCTTTTCTGGAAACTTCAACCTTCAACCATCCCAAGTGTCTTGCCGTGCTCAACAAGTTCAGAGCCAATTCTTGGAACTTGTCCAATCACGAGCCAAAGAACCAAAGCTGATCCCCAGCCTGCGACTTGCCTACGTCCCACTGGCCCTTTCTAGAAGAATCGGATTCATTGGCTTGTTACAAACCGCTTGGGATTCATCATTGGTTGCAAAACGATTTGGCTGCAAGCTGCTGGGCTGCAAAAGGACTGGACTGGCTCTCATTGAGGCGTCGAAGGAACATTTCAGACACCTCTTTCCTGTTTCCAACACCAACAGTTCGATGGGTTTTGTGGAGTAAACGCGGAAATTCTGTGTCCATCGTGTCCCCCAACTGAAGCCCACACCAAAGTCCAATCAAAATTCAGCCGTTAACTTGTGCTGCCAGCATCTCTGTCGCTGTGAATCGCTGTGCTTGATCAATTAGATCTCCAAAAAGTGGCTGAGGTCTTCATAAACTCTAAGTCTAATTGAAAGTAATTTGAAAGTTTTTCTCCAATTCAAATGGTGTAGCGGTGTAGCCAAAGAAAGTCACCCCACAATCAAGCCAGGTTCCACAAAATTTCGGGACGCGCAGAACTCGGGGTCACCGGTCCCCCGGCCCTGTCAAGGCCCTTTCTCCGCCATGCGGCAATGACATCAAGTTGTCAGGGAACTATACGGGTTGCTATATGTTGCTATCTAAAGAATACAGAAGCATTGGCTGCAATTGAATCTCCAAGGCTGACGTGCATGTCTAAAAAACCCTTGCAAACTTTTTGTGACCCTTTGCCGTAAAATGATGCGATCATTTGCTTGGTTTGTTTCAGAAGAGTACTGCAACAAATGTCCCCAGCATTAGAATAATCCCCCCTACTTTTAAGCCCAAGATTTCATGATTTAGTAGGAGATTTCCACATATTTCGGACCATTTATGTATGGGATCTCTAATATTAGGGGCATGGGATTAACAAGGTGATCATCTACTGGCAGGCAGCCGATTGCCCCTGTGGCCTCCATCCGGGGAAAAAAACGGAACAATAACGATGAACAAACAGCACTGCGATATACACAGACTAACCAACCAAAAGACTATGTATTTATATATATATATGTTTGTTTCTTTCTTTCTTTATTTATGTTTTATTTATTTGTATGTATGTATGTACGTACGTACGTACGTATGTATGTATATGATACTGTATATGTGTATATATGTATGTGCATTATTATATATACATTAATATATAGATATCATGTGACACATGACATACCCAGTATGTATTGATATGTTGTTTATCCAGGCAGAATCTGTGAAAATCATATTTTCAGCAGCAATTGCTGACACGTAAAGCTATGACTTATGAAGCTGGTGGCGTACAGCCTTGGAGCTCTCGAAACGGTGCCAATGGGTCAGGTGGAGGGGAGGGGCGCCGCAGGCGAGTTCTCTGGATGTTCGCTTCAAAAAAGTGACTCGAAATCCTCACAGAAATCGGAATGAACCATTTCGAGCTTTTCTGGAAACTTCAACGTTCAACCATCCCAAGATATCCCAAGTGTCGTGCTCAACAAGTTCAGAGCCGAGTCTTGGACATAATATGACATAATTCGAAATTGCATCAATCAGAAGCTAAAGAACATCACAAAGCTGGTCTGCCTCAACCTGCGACTTGCCTACACCCCAGTCTGCTGCCGCCTGACGCCCCATTGGCCCTTTCTCGAAGAATCGGATTCATTGGCTGCAAAACAATTGGGATTCATCATTGGCTGCAAAACGATTTGGCTGCAAAACAATTGGACTCAGTGGCTCTCATTGGCAGAGGCTGGACCGAAGGAACGTTTTCTGACAAGACCGACTCTTGAATCATCAGCTTGATGAAAAAAATTGGATGTAGATGTTCCCTTGAACCAACCCGTTGCCAGCAACTCCCACAGCCAGTGGTCCAATCAAGAGCCATTACCTTGCCGTTGCCGGTTACAGGAATTCTGCCGCCTCGACCATGTTTTCATCATGTTCGTCCAAATCCTCCAGCTGCATATTTGCGCAAAGCTGAGTCAAATTCCTTGTCCGTCGGGCATCATGGACCAGTTCCTCGCAGGGTGCGTGCCAGACACAGCCAAAATTGATTGTCCACTGTTTTTGTTGCTACAGACACTTGAAATTACCCTCCGGTAATAAAAGGTGGCAATGGAAAATTGCGGAAAATCTAACATCTATTATCATGTATAGACGATTTTCCCACTAAAGTCTCCATTTCTAGGGGATTTTCCAGCCATGTTTGATTACCAAAAGGTGTAGCATGCCAAACTCCATTTTTGGAACATCAGATGGCCTGAAATCGCCGCTCTACCACATTCCCAATCCATTTCACCATCACCTGCGTCGACAAACGATCCACGAACTTCACAACAACATTTTCCGACAGACTCATCATGCACTGGACAGTGTGGGAAGTTTCTGTGCACGCTCAAGAATTTCTATGAAGTGCTTCAAGGTCTGCACAACAAATCATCGAGTCAAAAACCCAGAGGGAAATCTATTGGGAGTCCCAGGGGGTGATCATCCCCGGTTTCTTTTGCCCATGCTCAGCAACCAACTGTGGTTTTTGACACTGCTCAAATGGATGTTTCCTGAGTCATGGGGGTACCCCTAAATCATCCATTTTAATAGGATTGTCCATTATAAACCATCCATTTTTGGGGTACCGCCTTTTTTTGATAACCTCCAAATCTGAATGCGCTCTCTGACCTGTGTCACGTGGTGATCGACGTGCGCGAATCCCACCTCAATTCATATCCACGGTGGCACAGACTGGGGGTGGAACCTCAAAATCGGGTACCCCAATACCATTCGTTTCCCCATTGAAAACCACCCATTTTGGATGATGGGATCTCCCATTCTAAGAAGCTCCAGCTTCGACAGGTCTACCTGGGTCTCAACCAAATCCACCTGTGGATCTATGACATTTGCAGGGTCAAGGTTGAGGTGATGGCTCGAAAAACACCTTCCTCTATAAATCTTGAGAGTGCAAATTGGCAAGCCACTTGTGAAGAGAAAACCGCCACCCATAAAACGCTGCTGACACTGGGAGCTACTATGATTATTGTGTCAAATTATGATAGCAACCAAGCAATTACCCACAAGGCTCCAAGCCCTTGGCGCCAAGCAACGCCTCTATCAATCAAACTCTTCACATAGTCCTCCAGGGGTGGTGCCATGTGAAGATCCCCCGCAGGCCCTGGACCTATGGCAGTCAACCCTGCCCAAGTCAACCACCATTTCCCAACTCTCCAAGTCAAGCACTCAGCAAGTGACTGTTTCACCACTAAACACAATAGTTACTGTATATATACTAAGGCCTCCTTCATGGGATCAGGATCACAATGAGGGAGAGCTGACGCTTTCATGCTATGTCTCCGACTTCCGACTTGCACCATCTCATACTTTATTATATTGGTGCCTGGGTCAGCCACAAAAGAAACGCATTGGTTTCTGCCATCCGGTGCCAATGCCTCAGCCCTGCTACTCTGTGGCATGCCATGCAGATTTGCTATGCGCAATCTAATGCTGCGAGAAGGAGAAAAAAAAGACTAGCTGAGCGCCTGCTGAGGTAGCTCGAAGAGGGGCGGTAGATGGGGGAGCGAAAAAAGATAGCTGAGAGAGCGAGGTAGTTGAGGAAAGAGGTAGCTCAAACAGTCACTCAGTTAGTCTGTCCGTCATTCGGACATTCATTCATCATGCAGTCTTGCGGGGCGCATTCCGGCATCCATTCAGACACTCATGTAAGTCAGCATGTCCCATAGCCACTATCTATGTGGCTCAAAACCGGCGCACGAATGGACGCACCGGACTTGTCATCTTCAGTAAGTCTACTCATAACCGTCATAACCATTTATCATTGGCCAGAAATTTGAGCCATTTCCATGTCTTGCTTCCAGAGGTCACATGTTAAATTACACCGGTAAGAGACCCCAAACTGTGTGGGTAGGACTAGGAAGTCGCTTGATTTTTTTACAACGAACTATTATGTGTTTTAAACACACTTTGGGGAAAAAAAATCCTGAAAGATCCGCGAAAAGTCTCGAAAAAAAGATCCTTCAGCGCCCCTGTCCTCATCCTGTGGTTTCGATGCCTTGGCACTTGCCGAGTCGATCTGACTCAGTGACCAGGTTACCGCCTTGATGCCGACCTTGCCACGATAGATCTCCTCATTCATCCTCACCCGTGGTTAGAATTGAAGTGCTTGGGAATGATTTCACGAATTGTGTTAGGATAAAATATGATAAAATCACACATTTCAAAAATGTATTGCTGCTTGATGTAAAGGTCCTTGCAAAGAATTATGATTGCGAAGACTGTTCAAAGTAAGGACGAAAAAAAAGACCTGCCACGAATGGGACAAGCAACTGCGTGGTCGACGCCGGTGGCATCGCGAAGGACCTGGCCATGTGGGCCGCCAAAATGTGAGACAGGTGACCGGTGATATAATACGCAAAAAAATGGGGATTCAGTCTCAAAACTATAAAAGATTCTCATCACAATGTGACAAGAAGTTTATCACCGCACGGTTTTGTTTGTGACAATCTAGAGTCTACGGGACGCCATGGATTTAGGATCCATTTTACGATAATTTTGGTCGGGGCATGTTGTAGAGTTTCCTTTCAACCAATTCTCAGATTTTTATCACCGAGACAAATCTATGACCGTGTTTCAACGGGGAGGCCTGGCCTTGGGTCAATAGATTCCGGAAAAGAAAGTCAAAAAAGGTCTTTTTGCATCGCCTAGGTACACCTGCACATCTAGGGTTGAAGCAACAAACTGCTCATAGACCGTCCAGATTCTCTCGAAGTAGACGGGGTTCTCCCATCCATCCTTGGCAATTGATCAGAAATTCACGACTATCAAAGTGGATAAGAAATCTGAAATGGCTTGAAACCCATCTATCCATCTCTAGCCCAAGAAATCGTGGCCTCTATAGTCCAAGCATCCAGGATTGCCACCATGCGTCCGATACGTTTCAAGTTGCGTTCGAAGACGGTCTCAAGGTCGGCGCTTCCCGTCTGTGTCTGCTCCAGAAGGATGCGGAACTGGTTGTTGACAAAGAAACACATGAAGAAGAAGACCTGCGAAGTTTGTTTGGCAAAAGGATTCAAAAGGCTCGATTTCTCATCCATTTGCCATGTTACATGATCAAAGTGTAGAGGGCCTGTTTCGAAATTGAGAAGCCCAAACTGCATTCAATGGTTTTTATTATCATCATCTTTAACATATTAGTTTACCATCATTACCATCTATGAAAGTCCAATTTGTTCTGCCTTCCGCCCACCCCCACCTGCTCCGGGATCGCAGAGGTCTTCATCCGGTACATCCCCAAGGCACTTGTCACCTGGTGCAGGCGATATTTCCAGGTCCAGGACAAAAAGTGGGTTTGTTCCCGGCGCTCATCGCAGTGGATCCAATCCACCAAAGCACAACCTGGTCGGCCATCGCGGGGACAAATGATGCTGCCGCCCAGCGGAGCGTCTTCCAACCAAAAGCTGCTTTGCATCTCGATGAAGGTCGGATCACCTGAGAAGTACCCATCGATCATTGATCATTGATCATTAAGTAGCATCACTAGTACTGATTAATTCAGGCCTAAGGAGAAATGCTAACCGAAGAGTCAAGGCTGGGGCCAATTGAGCCCTAGTTCCATCTGATATCATCTGATATCATCTGATATCATCTGATTCTGGATTCCTAACCCCGTGGATCCCATGTGGCTTGAGCTGTGACCAAACTGGCCGAGCAGCTCTTTCCAGTACGTTGTATTGCCAACTGCTGAAATTCCGGTGACAGAAGATATCGCATGCCTCAGATTCTCTCGGCGCTGTCATGTCGGAAAGGATCACCGAGGATCCGAAGAAAAAATATTCGGAGGATTTGAGCGGTTTCACCTAGAGGGTATGGAAAATTAGAAATAAGACCCAAATGGTACGATTTATTGGGTTTCCCACTTCTAATTCAATGAAGAGTGAAGTTGCCGTTCTTCCTCTCCAGGTTTCAATGTGTGGTAGCGGTCGTGGCCAAGGCCCTTTTCCCCATTTCCTATCTTTAGGCTATGTGCACCCTAAGAAGCTCAGGCCGGCCTGTAATGTATCATACAAGTAAAACCCGCACGAGGCGGGTGGCAGAAGTTTCCAGGGTTAAGGACTGTTACATTATAGGATCCAAAATCATCCAAAATCAAGGTTTGCCTATAGGAGATGCGGCGAAACCTCACAACTTCTCAACTCTTCTCACGATTTCTCACTTTTTGTCACCTCTTCTCAACAACCCTCATCTCCGTGCACCTCATATTGACTCTCCTCAACTCTCAACTCTCAACTCTTCTCAGCTCGTATTGACTCATCTCACCTCAGTTCCACTCATCCAATATTTTTCTTAGCCCGGTTGAAGTGACACAAGTGCAAACTTGTTCAATTGCCTTCCCCTTCGTTCGATCCGTTTGGTTCGTTCAAGTTGCGTTTGTCTTATGACACAGAGGAGTTTTTACACAGAGGAGTTTTTACACAGAGAATCTGTTTTGCACTGAACAAGTTTTTACACAGAGAAATTTTTACACCGAACAAACTTTCCCACTGGGAAGTTTTTACACAGAGCAAACTTTTACACAGAGGAGTTTTTCCACAGAGAAGCTTTTACACAGACAATCTGCTACACAGGATGCGCCAAAATAGAGAAAATTTTGCTGACAAAGCAGCATTCGCAACCTTCATGCAGCCACTACAATACGATTTACGACTTTCTGCAAAATACAATAGTATTACGCATGCAGCCGGAGCGGCGAGGAACCTTAATACAGGATAATACAGGTGTTCCAGTGCGACCTGCAAACACTGAGTTGCAAAATACAATGGAACTACGCACAACGGCTACACAAATTGCAGTTCCAAAACCGCATCTCGACGCCAAAGCGGAAAAACGAAGATTTTGAGACACTTTTTGAAAGAATTTTTTAGAGCAAAATGATCAACGACCTTAATGCAGCCATTCCACTGCGATCTGCACAGACTGAAGTGCAAAACACAATAGCACAGCGTCAACAACAACAGACACAAAGTCACCTGGAGACCTCAGTTACACTGCGCGCGCAATTCGAGACAGATTGGACGGCAAAGGGGCGACGCCCGAAACCGTCGCGCAAGCGAGCCAACTTTTCTCCGCAGCGGAACTTCCGTTTACCCGAAGAAACACAATGTCTGGCGCAAATCCTAACATTCAAATCGTATCTTGGATGCCACTGCTCCAATGCGATCTACAGAAATCAACAGTGATTTGCAAAACACAATCAGAGTTGCAAGACAGTACTGGAGAACAAGGTCACGTCATAATCACGATCCCGCTGTTTTTGAGAGTTCTCAACATGGTCCATGTATAAAATCGACAACGCTTACAGGGTTTCTGTTTTCTCTTTGAAAAACCATCATCCATTTTCGACTGTATTTGCATGACTTTGAGGCTATGAATTCGCAGTTCTACTCATGTTTAGCATTCATGTGCAGCACGCGCGTTTGAAAAAAAAACAGTTTTTTTTGTCTCAGCACGTGGAGGCCAAGTCAGCCAACCCATGGGAACAGGACATCTATGTGCGTAACATCATCAGCGTAACATGAACGTTAACATCCCACCCCACCCCAACCCCTACGAGCAGCGTAACATCATCAGCGTAACATGAACGTTAACATCCCATCCCACCCCACCCCAACCCATGTTTGCTAAGAACAAGCATATTCCACGGGGCCGTACCTTGGGCGTGAGCAAGAACAAGTACCCTCTTATAGAAGCCTTGGCGCAGCCATGTCACTGCGAGCTGCGCAGACTGAAGTGCAAAACACAATAGCACAGCGTCAACAACAACAGACACAAAGTCACCTGGAGACCTCAGTTACACTGCGCGCGCAATTCGAGACAGATTGGACGGCAAAGGGACGCCGCCCGAAACCGTCGCGCAAGCGAGCCAACTTTTCTCCGCAACGGAACCTCCGTTTACCCGAAAAAAACACAATGTTTGGCGCAAATCCTAACATTCAAATCGTATCTTGGTGTCATTGTTCCAACGCGATCTACGGAACAGTGAGTTGCAAAACACAATCAGAGTTGCAACACGGTACTGAAGAACAAGTACCCTTCGAGAAGCCTTGGCGCAGCCAGCCCACTGCGATCTGCACAGACTGAAGTGCAAAACACAATAACACGGCGTCAACAACAACAGACACAAAGTCACCTGGAGACCTCAGTTGCACTGCGCGCGCAATTCGAGACAGATTCGACGGCAAAGCGGCGCCGCCCGAAACCGTCGCGCAAGCGTGCCAACTTTTCTCCGCAGCGGAACCTCCGTTTACCCGAAAAAACACAATGTTTGGCGCAAATCCTAACATTTCAAATCGTATCTTGATGTCATTGTTCCAACGCGAGTCTAAGCAGCAGTGAGTTGCAAAACCCAATCAGGATTGGGAGCGCAACACAGCACGGAAGAACAAGTACCCTTCGAGAAGCCTTGACGCAGCCATTCCACTGCGATCTGCACAGACTGAAGTGCAGAACACAAAAGCACAGCATCAACAACAACAGAACAACAACAGACAAAAAGTCACCTGAAGACCTCAGTTACACTGCGCGCGCAATCCGAGACAGATTCGACGGCAAAGCGGCGCCGCCCGAAACCGTCGCGCAAGCGAGCCAACTTTTCTCCGCAGCGGAACTTCCGTTTACCCGAAAAAACACAATGTTTGGCGCAAATCCTAACATTCAAATCGTATCTTGGAGGCCACTGTTCCAATGCGATCTAAGCAAGAGTGAGTTGCAAAACACAATCATTATCGCAACTTCTCTGCTCGACTCTACTCTACTCTACCTCTACCCCTACTCTCTGCTCGGCTCTATTCTTCTCTACTCTGCTCTTCTCTACTCTACGCTGCTCTACTCTACTCTTCTCTTTATCTACTCTTCTATACTCTACTCTGCTCTACTCTATACTCTTCTCTACTCTACTCTACTCTGCTCTGCTCTACCTCTACTCTGCTCCACTCTACTCTTTGACCTCTACCCCTGTTCCACTTCGACTTCTACTCTACCTCTGCCTCTACCTCTACCCCTACTCTACTTCTACTTTACTCTGTTCTACTCTGCTCTGCTCTATTCTACTCTTCTCTACTCTTCTCTACCTTTCTCTACTCTACGCTGCTCTACTCTACTCTTCTAGACTCTACTCTACTCTGCTCTGCTCTGCTCTACTCTACTTTACTCTTCTCTACTCTACCTCTACTCTGCTCGGCTCTACTCTACTCTACCTCTACTCTACTCTACCTCACTGCTTCACGCAGGTGCCAACTGGACACAATGATCTTTGGGCTAGTGAGAATAAAACCATCCGTCAGCTGCAATGTCAACCCAGGACCAAATTAAATAGACATTCATCCACTTTCTGCAGCTTTTCATGATCAAAGCAAACGGCTAGCCCACCACAGGAAGTCCATTGAAGCCACTACAGTTTTCAAATCCAAATCTGCAACAAATCGAATTCAGCTACTTTCCATCCATTCCTATTCTCTGTGCCACTTTTTTCCCATTAATCATTACTACCCTCTCTTCATCAACCAGTGGGGATTCAGTGGGGATTTGGCACATGTATGGTCCCGCACGATCTTCATTCCTCAACATCACTGAGAGGCTAAGATTTTTTATCAAACCACAATTTCAAGAACTTTCAAGATCTTCAAGCGATTCGATCCCAAACAAATGAAGAAATAGCTGGGAACCCCTTGTTTTTTGGGTTCCCTTCATCTTGATCAAGTTGCTGACGCCTGCCTTTTCGCTCTGATTTTTTCGAATGGCCGCGATTCGACGTTCCACTTCGGCCCAATGAACTCCAAGTCGCTGCAAATTCGTACAATGCCGAAGCGCTGTACCTTTCAGCGCAGCAAAGATTTGAGGATCAATTGTTCTTTTTTTTTTGGCCGTGGGACCTGCAAATGGCTCATGTTCAAAATTGACCATCCAGTTTTGGTGTATCTAGATCCACACCTGCCAGCAGCTTTGAAATCTGTTCGACCAAAGATGCTGATCGATGAATCATCCTATGGGGACTTTGACAATCCACAGCTTGGATGGCTTCGAGAAACCCCTCCTTTCTGGATTCCGTGAAATCGGAATCCCAGGTCAATGTCAGATAGCCAAAGATAGCCTATCAGATAGCCTATCAAATAGCCAAAGTGCTTGCAGCACCATCCCAAAAGTCTGTCTCCAACAACTTGAAGATCTGTTCAATCTCCTTCTTCCTGCCATCCGAATTGGTCCACCGAAAAAAAGACCGTATTAAAAGAAACCCTCCCAACAACTAGAAAACAAAAGAACTTCAAGAAACCTCTGTTTTTTTTGTAGGGTTTCTAGATGTTTTTAGTAAGCGGCAAATGGTAACCTGGTAAAGTAACGTCTGGAAATCCATGGAAATCCTGCAAATTTAGCATTTTCACTTGCATCGCACAAGACCATACGGGGAGTTCCATGGACCCGCAAAATACAGAATGTATTTGTTGTATCTAACCATCTAATTTCAAGGACCCATCATTTTGCACCATTCCCAACTCAGAATGCTCAAAACCTGTGGGTGCTCAAAACCGGGTTAATAGCTTTCCAAGCCTGCACCCTCGCCGATAAGAAAGCCAAACTCGAGCTCCCACCTAGGGCCCAGGAGAAGCGCTGGGGCGGCTCCGGTGACAGGGGTTGATTTGTATCTGGCATCATGCCCAACCCCCAAGCCACAAGGACAACGCACGCCGTTGCGGACAGGCTGCAAGCACACCCGCCACAACCACTGCCAAGAGAGGCAAATGCCACCAAACACAATTTGCATCTATCAGCATCATGGGCGGGTTGCAAGCTGTACAAGTCATGGCGTTCTCGCTGGCAAAGTGATAGGTGTCACAGTCATCACCTGACATTTGGATCTCTCAGCAGTCAGTGGTTTAAAAACATGGGGATTTTCACAGTCAAACCAAAATTATGGCACCATCATGGTGCTTTCATGTCTTTTTACTTTGTGCCAAATAGTAGTGCCAAGATAAACACTTGAAACAGCAATGGGGAAAAAAGTCTAGCAAAAGTAATGTGGTCAGAAAAAAGTTGGCAAAATCCAGTCACACGAAGTTTGATCCTTGGCTGCGTCTTGAGAATGCTGGGAGAGTGAGGATTAATGACCAAAATTCGAGCGCATTGTCTGCAAAGAAGTTTGGATGTGACATCATAATAAAAAACAAATAAGGTTTCAATACTAAAATGGTCTATTTTTGGATGATTTGCGGACACCCCCATTTTGGGACACCTCCAAATAGTACTGGAAACGATCAAAACAACTGCAGCTATTAAGAAAACAACGTCGCAAGAGAAGGGGATAGAGACGGTGCATATTTGCACCAAGCACCAAACGCATAACGTCGTTTTCATGGGGATCATGCAGTCGCAGTTTCCACTTCCACCGTTCGAAATTTCAAAACAAACTCTTGCATGATTGATGTTTTTTGGCGGTTCCAAACGGCATCACTGCAACAGAAACGACAAGGACCCTTGAACAGTTGCGACTTGGAACTATCAAACAGTAGACAATTCGTTGAGAGTACAGTAGAACTTCGGTGCCAAGGGTCTGGTGAAGGGACGGCATTTGCTGGACAGCTTTCACAGCTCTCTTTTCCTGAAAACCCGCAACTGGATGCAATATTCTTGACATCTTCTTCAACATGTGAAGTTATGACATTCAAATCATGATTGTAAAAGTAAAAATAAACTGCAGAGATAACAAACGTGTTTGGGCCCCCGTATTTACAATGCTTCAACATGTGCAACTGTTCAAAGACAAGAGTGAATAGCAAAGTTTTTCTTGGCCACCTTTTTGCATGCGGCAAACAACAGTCTCTGCTCATAGAGGATGACTTGGCTGGTATAATTTCCATTTATGTTTGGTTGGTTGGTGGGCTTGGCAAGTTGATATCAGATCATTGAGATAGCCATTTATATTGAGAGATGGATCAAAGCCTATTATCACCATTAGTATTACCAGTCTTCTTCTGACTATAATCATAATCATCATTATATAGTAATCTTATGTAAGATTATAATTATATATTTTACCATTTATTTGGGGGATGAACACCCACAAATTCCCGGCTATTTCGGTGTCAAAACCCGCCTAGCAGGGTTGAAACATGTTGAAACCATGGCACCTTGACCCGAATAGCGCCCCGCAGGGCAGCGTTCGCAGCCCAAGCGGTTCTGCGCTGGGAAGTGTCCTGCTGGGCAGGGCGGTTTCACAAAGATCTCGGCGCCCTGAAACCTGGGCCAAGGACCCCAGAAGAAACAGGGCGCCATGTGCAAACCCGCCAGGGTCATCAACCGTGGCTGGAAAATTCTTGTGGCCTAGCCATGGCGCTTCATAGCTGGTAAAATCATCAATGTGGATTCACCACACTTTTACCACGAAAATCGTGATGATGAAACATGGCCAGCAAAACATGTTCAAGGCCTCAAAAAATCTGAAAGTATAGAGACCTGGGTGTAGGGCCAAGTCAATGTATCCTTATGCCTTCGGCTCTCAGTTTAGCAACAAAAAACGGGTTCCTTATGGATCATTTTCTCAAGCTGGAAAACACACCCGCTGAAACCAGGAACCAGGTCTGACCGTTGTGTCGCTGCCAGGCTGTTCTTCGTTGTGTTCTTCAAAAACATCCAAGAAACATTTCAGGGCGCACACATACTTGCGATGTGTCCCAAGAGACCAACTGCTGCTTGAAGGCTGTCCTTAAAAGCCCAGGTGCTGCACGAAAGCTTGTTCCAACAGATTCTGGACGGGATTTCCCAAGAACCAATGATCCAGTAGATGAAGGGATTTCCAAGGGAAAATGAGAAAAAAACATGAAAAAACATCAGCAAATCCAGGTGTCGCATTTCGAAACATTGTGCTCATGTCCGTCACACTGGAAGTATCCCACTGTCCGATGGGCTGATTGAAGGCCAGAGCAAAGTGGAACATCTTACCTGATCATCCCAAAGTCGGGCCAAATCACCCCACGGTCCCCACGGTTCAAGCAAAATCATCCAAAACTATCCAAAATATGTGATAATTCAAGCTAGATTCTAGTCTGATAAAATATGATAAAATGATAGACTATTGCAATCTATTGCATCTATTTTGTCCAGCATACCTAATCAATTCTTTGCAAGAATGAAACCACTAAGCACTTCCACCAAGTTACTCATATCAGTAACTCTGGAAGTGTTCCATCCTCTAATGTCCTGGTTGAAGGCCATAGCATAGGAGAACATCTCACTCATGTCGCGGACACTGGAAGTGTCCCAGGAGCCAATCGGCTGATTGAAAGCTCGAGCATGTTCAAACATCCCACTCATGTCGCGGACACTGGAAGTGTCCCAATCGCCAATCGGCCGATCGAAAGCTTGAGCATATTCAAACATCCTTCTCATGTCGGTAACGCTCGAAACGCTCCATTTGTTGATGGGCTGGTTGAAATTCTCTGCAGCATAGAACATCTCACTCATGTCGGTGACTCTTGAAGTGTCCCAAAACCACAGGAACTGATTGAAGACATAGGACTGAAAGAACATCCGACTCATATCAGTAACACTGGAAGTTTTCCATCCACTAATGTCCTGGTTGAAAACCGAAGCCGAAAGGAACATCTGACTCATGTCTCGGACGTTGGAAGTATTCCATTTTCCAATGGGCTGATTGAATGCAAAAGCACGGAAGAACATCCCCATCATGTCTTTGACACTGGAAGTATTCCAGTAGCCGATGTGCTGATTAAAGGCCTCGGCGAGACGAAACATCTGACGCATAGTGGTGACTTTGGAAGTGGTCCATTTTCCAATGGGCTGATTGAAAGCTGCAGCATAGGCGAACATCTCATTCATGTCCCTCACACTGGAAGTGTCCCACCTTCCGATGGGCTGGTTGAAAGTCTTGGCAGAGCAGAACATCTGACACATATCAAGGACATTGGAAGTATCCCAGGATGAAATATCCTGATTGAAATTTGAAGCATTGTAGAACATCAAACTCATGTCTCTGACGCCAGAAGTATTCCAGCGTCCGATGGACCGGTTGAAAGCCCTGGCATTCAAGAACATCATACCTGGTTGAGCCACACCTCTGCAAAATATCAGGAAACACTTTCGATATCTTTCGATCATCCCAAGTGGCTTGGAAAATAAAAAAATATCAACGAAACTTACGAAACGACGGACCCGATACTCATGTTGGTTGCAGCAGATGTATTCCATGAGCCGATCGATTCGTTGAAGTCTTCAAGTCCTTCAAATATCCCACTCATGTCCTGGGCGCCACATCAAGCAGAGAGATGTACAGTTTCAGATTTCACTGATATCAGCGGGAGAATGGTGGAAAACCATTTTGCAAAACAAGAAGGTCACGGCAAAGGGATTTCTTCTGATTTCCTACATGCAAGGGGATGTTCACGGCAAAGCTACGTAGCTTTTACGCTGCAAGTTCAGTAGGCAAGTGTCCGAGATAGAAGAAACATCCCATTGAGCAATCTTCCCATGTTTTTTCTCCACATCCTGCCTGAAGGGGGCACAGCTGGGAAATTCCCAATTTCAATGAGAAGATCAGAAGACCGTCTGGAAATGGATATTGATGCATGGTGTCCTATTCCCCAGAAGTTGGTTGCTGAAGTGACATGGATCTCAACTTGTGAATGGGTTTGGCCCCCAAAAAAAAATGATTCATCCCCAAATTGCGTACTGGTATACCGTATACCTCAACACTGTCAGATGCTGGCTACACCTCATCCATTTTTTGGCCTCATTATTGCAAATACAATCCGTTTCTGAAAATCATTGGCAAAGGGATCGCCTTAAACTCCAGTGGCATAAATGTTCATCGTCCCTGACACATTCTGAAGTTGACAACTGCCCAGTCCCTTTTACCAAGACATTGTCAACACTAAGAAACATTCTGGCTATGGATCAAAAACATGGAGTACCCTGGATGTTTATATCTTGGGAATGGATGCTTATTCCCCGATATGGGAAAATCATATGTCAAATGGCCCATCCCATAGTCCATAGTCATTCAGCAAGGTCCATAACTCAGCAACACCTGGATACAGAAGGAACTGGGCGGGTTGAGAACGAATTCAGGGACATTTTAACAAATCGGCTCCAAAGAAATCAGCAACACGCCCAAGTTCACAAGGGGTGAACTTAGGACCCACAAAATCCGCCAGCTGTGCCCACCTTTCAGCTTTGTTCGTCCATTTTCTGGCTGCCGACCGCAATTCCTTGTTTCGAAGTGCTTCGGCAGATGTTTGTGGCCCAAAATGAATAGATCCAGCCCATTACACCGGGGTTTCTTGGGATTTTTTTTTCGAAACCAGAAAGGTTTTTCTTCAAATGGTCATCATTTTTCAATGTCGACTTTTCAATCACAATCCCCTGCTTCTGGAGCAGGTTCATCCACACTCTAATTTCTTGTAGTTCACCGTCATCACTCTTGTGAACCTTCCCCCCAAACTAATATCATTTTATGCAACAGTGACGCGGTTTTCATCCAAGTTTCGTCTCTGGTGGTGAAAGGATCCGCACCCAAAACAGGCGCAATCAGAAACGCCATCAGCATTGGAAACAACATGCTGGCAGTCTTGTGGGATTGGACTGCCATTTGAAGACCAGGGATTGGCGATCAACAAGGAGGAATACACTGGGTTCAAACAACTCCAACCATTTTGGTCACAAATCACTCACATACTTGTTGGTGATTAAATCCCAATTTTTCCACTGAACAAAATCTGATGTTCATTGGTAAAATCGCCCACACCTTGGAGCCCTAGCTCTGGACAAAATCCGAGGATGAAACGGATCAAACAAACTAATTCGGAAAGAAAACACATCAGATCTAGGACCGTGGACAATATGTAACATTTATGTATGCTATCCGTCACTCCGTGCATCCACGAAACTTACAAAACAGGTATCATTTGGCAATTGGGCGATTGTATGCTATGTGTATGCTATAGGTATGATATATGTACGATGTATGTATGATATATGTATGATATATGTAGGGTCTAAGTATGATATGTATGTATGATACATGTATGATATATGTATGAAATATGTGGGATATATGTAGGGTATTTGCAATATACGAATAATATATGCACGATACATGTAGGATTTACGTATGATATTTGTAAGTTATGATATATGATATATGATATATGATTTATGATATATGATATATGATATATGATATATGATATATGATCTGTGGTTTATGATATACTATAAACGATATACGATATACCGTATACGATATACGATAAATGATATCTGGTATATGATATATGGTAAATGATATATGATATGTGCTATATGATATATGATGTTTGAAAAAAATATATGATATGTGTAAATAAATATATAATTATAAATTATATAGTATATCTATATATATGAGTGTGTCGTCTATCTTCCCACAAATTCCCAACACTGTGCGACACGCAGACCCAAAAACACTGCGTAAAAATATTACCGAACAACAATCTCACCAACACAACGCCAACAAAGGTGAACATTAAACATTAAACCAAATTGGCCGCTAGATTGAACCAACGCTGCATCGTCATGTTTGAAACTGTTGAACAAATCACAATTTCAAACTAAGAATTGAACTCGCGGAAAAAACTGCACTCAGGAAACATCTGAGGTGAACAACTGCGAATGAACAAGGTATCTCACGATGCGCACCCTCTCATCCTTTTGACACATCCCACATCATCCTCCTCAACATTATCACCCTCAACATCATCATGTACCTTCTCCTCAACATTGTTATTCTCAACATTGTCATCTTCCTCCCCCTTGACATCACCATCCTCAACATCATCATCCTCCACCTCATCTTCCGCAACATCATTATATGTGAAACAACAGCCGTAACGCGCGCTGTTTTGTGCCAAAAGGGCCTGGCAATGTGAAGTCAGACATGGTTTCATGTCTATGTGAACTGGAATGGATTCCTACACTCACGTCTCGTTTTGTGCGTGTCATCCTTGCTTCCATGACTGCCATGCCACATGTGAGCACTGTTCCAACTCTTTCGTACTCCTCCTCAAAAAGGCTGAGTCTTTGACTTGCCTCTTTTGTAAATTTCTTGGCCTCCATGACAGTCTCTCCAGCGCTTCTTTCTGAAAAGCCATCATTTTGAAAAACCATTGAATTCTCATCCACGCATAATTCCATGAAGGTCCTCCACATATCGTAGGTATGATCCTGCACGGTCATTGTGTCCACGGTTCCGTGCTGACCGATGCAGTCTCTGAAAAACACTTCTGATTCTCTCAATCACGCCCATAGTCATCCCAACAGGATTTGTTCCAGAACTTGCATCCAGAATTGTAATCAGCGCCTGTTGGATCATTGAGGCGTCCTCCCATGCTTCTCTTGTCAATGCAATGTTTTGTTCTCTCCTCATTGCTTCCATCAGGTTGCTCATACCTTCTGTGGATGAAGGTTCAACCTCATCATCTGTCAATCTTTCCTCCTCTGCATCTTCTAAAGGGTCGGTGTCATCTGGTCGATTCCTCTGCATGTTCCATAGGACAAAATTTGCCCTTTCCTGAGTAAACATATGGGTCCTTTGTTGTCCTGTGAGGCTTTGGTTCCTCACAAATCCTCCAAACTCCATCAACCCATAGCGCACAACGTCAGTTGCATCGTCCAAAACAGTCAATGCATCTCTTGTATCATCTGCATTGGTTGCAATGCGATTTGCCAACTGATCCAATCGTTCACCCAGGGCATGGATTGCATCTCTCATCCATGTCATATTATCCAACCTTTCACAAAGCCATGCGGCATACTCATAGTGGTCTGCCAATTGAGTTTCCACGTTCTCCATGTCTTTTCTCATCTGCATCCATTTGCGCCATCCAAACCGGCAAACTGTCGCAAGAAATATCACCAGAAAAATTCCCAGCATCCACCAAGCATTTGTGCCATTGCTTGGCTCTGAACACTGCTGTGCATCTGCAACCACCGGCCCAAGGCCCATAGCAACGCTCATGTTGAAAATTGTTTTGGCTATCCTTTTGATTTGTTGGCTATTGGCGCTTTTCTCCTTTTGCTGTTGTGCTTCCTCCCATCCAACCTCTTCACCAGTAGCAACATAGATTAAACCACTTTCATTCATCAAATAAGAAAGCCTTTGTTTTGCCAAGCTCTTCGTCCCAATGTCAGCCAAATTCACCGCTGTAGGCAGTTGCCTGAGTATCACCAGCTTATCGTTCACCATCTGTTGTACCCACAAAACCTTTCCAGACAAGTGTCGAACTTTTCCAACACCTTGACGACTGGCCAGCTGTCGGGCACTGCTGCTGTCTGTGAACTGAACATGGTGAATTGATTCTCCCAGAACAAACTGTGCACATGCTATGATGAAAAGGCCATCGCACATTGAGCTTACCAGGCTATGAAGTTCACTTTCACAAGAAGACAATGAAATTGTTTTCTGAGTCCTGCTGCTACCGTAGAGGAAGGAATTGTTAAGGAAATGCATCCCACACGATGTGCTGCGCCTGTGGGATCGATTTGCACTCCAGTCAGCGTCACTGTATGTTTCCAGAACCCAAAAGTGTTCACCATCATTGGAAAACTTTCCTTGACCTGGGAGAGGCGTCACAAGTTTTACACCAACGTCACCAATATGCTTCATGTACCCTACCAGCTTACGCAGCCGTTGAAGTCCTGTCAATGTTGGGCTTGACATTCCACCAGCCAACTCCTTAATTGTAAACATCAGGTCAGGACGTTCTCGACCAATGTACAGGCACAATCCAACAATTGATCGATATGCTGTAGTATCTCTTGGGTTCAACTTTTGAGAAACATCTTCCATTTGAATTTCAGCACTGCATGGAATCTTCTGAGCTCGTGCAACACCAAATGATTCTTCGAAAACCTTCACCACTTTGGAGATACTGATGCCTGGAGTTAGCATCAGCCAATCACCCATATCTGTCACTTTGCGTCTCAGGAAACTCACGCTTGTTCCAACTCCATCCAACTGAGAATGTGAAATTGAAAATTTCTCACTCATGCGTTTCAGGAAAACATCCTGCCAGTAAGTTTTGCTTCCAACAAACATGATGTCATCTACGTGAATGATGATCGTGCAGCTTTTGTTCCTGGCAAGACACGGTTGTTCATTGCAAAACTCAAACTCAAGTTCCTTGCTGAGGAAATCACGCAGACATTCATACCAAGCTCGAGCACCTAATCTTTGACCAGGAAGATTGCGTTGTATCACATATTCCTCCCCATGTATGGTCACAAGAATTGGCTCTTGTTGTGCCACTTGCAAAAACGCATCTTTCACATCCAAACAACCAAGTACCACCTCATATGCTTTTCCCTCACTCATTTCTGCAGCCAATTGTTTCTGCCACAGATACTTCAAAGGAAGTAAGTTCGAAGTGTGAGCTCCTGTTGCTGGACTGAATGTATCCCATCTGCGCACATTTGCAAACTCTCGGGCAACATAACCGGATCTGCGCATCCAACGTTTAACAACACCTCCATTGCTGTCAACATAGTCCTTGAGTCGCCAGTCTCTCACGAACTTGGTACTCAAACTGCCAGTTACTGCACCATCAAATTGATTTGCTACCACCAGCACTCCCATCTCCACCAGCCTTTTCACTTCTGTCTGGTCAGCCAGCTCGTCAATCCAAGCAGCTGGCGGTTCTGCCGGTGTAGACTCAACAGGAAAATCTGCCCACAGTTGTTCTGGAATACCAGTCAGTTGAATCTCATCCTCTCCAATCCAATCATCTTGCTCCTCCTCCAAACCATGCTCAACATCAAGGTCGGTTGAGTAATCATCCATGGTGAAGTACTCTTTGTACTCGATTTTCACTGCAGAAAGTCTGTCTTCATACTCCTGTCTCAAACGGTTAATACGTTGTTTCTTTGCATCTTCAACTCGAGCCCTTTTTGTAGACTCATTCTCATCACCTTCATTGGGTCTTGTAGATGCAGGAAGACGGGGACTTTCCAACTCAACATAGTCACGAGGAGGTGTGACCGGAATCATCAAACCAGGATCTGCAACTGAACTGGGAGCAGCACTAGCTCCTCCTGCCTCACCAATCACCTGAGCAGTTGATGTGTCAATGGGAATGTGGTCATCAAAAACCGTAGGACTCACCACTTGCTGTTGCTCTTGCTGTTGTTGAAACTGCAAAGCCAAGGGGTCATTCTTGCCCATCGCAAACTGTTCTTCTTCAGCACGTTTTTCCTGCTCAGCATACTTGATCACTGCTTCAGCTTCTTCATCATGAAGTTTGCTTCCTTCCACAGGTCCAATGGGAACCTCAAAGCTGACGGCTTTTGGTACCGCCTTTTTCATGGTTGGTAACACCCTTGCTCCAAAGCCAGATTTGTATTGCCATGAGTAGCACTTGCAGTGAAGATAGTAAGCCATGTGGCTTCTCCATGTCGTTTGAATCCTTCTGACGTTCTTTGACAACACCACTGCTTGCCCATCAAACAACACAAAACTGTTTTGGTCCTCTGACTTGCCCAGAAAGAGTGCACGTCTCCACTTGGGTGTAGCTTTTGTCCCAGGGTGGATGAAAGCAAAAACCGG